TGCTGCTGCTGCTGCTGCTGCTGCTGCTGCTACTGCTATTGCTGCCGCTGCTGCTGCCGCTGCTCCTGCTGCTTCTGCTACTGCTACTGCTACTGCTACTGCTACTCCTACTGCTACTGCTGCTGCTACTGCTACTACTGCTGCTACTACTGCTGCTGCTACTACTACTACTACTACTACTACTACTACTTCTACCACAACTGCCACGACGACGACGACTACTACTACTCCTACTGCTACTGCTACTGCTACTGCTACTGCTACTGCTACTGCTACTGCTACTGCTACTGCTACTGCTACTACTACTCCTACTGCTACTGCCACTGCCGCTACGGCTACTACTACTGCTGCTACGACGACGACTAGCAGGTTAAAACTACGGGAAATACTTGCTAGTACGACTACCACGTAACGAGGTCTTTTTTGCATTGACACACAGAATCAAACTACCCTTCCATGCTCAACAGACTAGCTCCCCCAGTTAGAATCCCAGTGTCAAGGGCTGAGGCCCCAACATAATGGACTTCGTACTCGTAGAAAAGCGGGGTGCCCATGATCCAGATAGGCCCGTTTTGGACGGTCTCGTAGTCGTACTCTCCGAAAAATGGCATGCAAATAATTTGGTCATTGAATCCGGTCGCAACCTTGCTCTCCGTCTGTCTAAGCAGCGGACAGTGCAGATTCTGCACAAAGGGTCAACCCCTTCGCCAGTGAGTCCGAGGTGCTACATAGGTACTCGGCGGCAAGCTGAAAGTCTGGGTCTTGCCCTCCACTCCAGCCACCTAGCCACATGGCCAGCGCACACACACCCACACAAACTGCGCGCATCACCTGAACTCAAGGCCTTGTGCCTCCAAGGGACATGCCAAAACAGGGCCGGCATTTCACGGTCTAAGTCTGCCTGATCCATTCGGATAGCAACTCGCTATGTGAAGACTATTGTCGTGCATGGTCGCGAGTGCTAGTCGCACTGACTATGCGTGTACTTTAGGTCCAAGTGGCCGCATCTTTGGACCAGGATGCACAGTCTGCAAGCAAGGACTCGAAGCGTTCCCTCAGAAACGGGCGTGCGGTCTGTGGTTTCAGTTTCTTCATGCGAGCCACCCTGTTTATTACTTTGGGAAAGTGAGGAGGCCCGATCCAGAGCGCTGCCAAGACACTTCTTGTCCAACTTTAGCTGTGTGGCTGGGTCCAGGTCGAACGGATTCGTGATGTGAATCTCTGGAATGCCCCACTTCTCCTAAGGACGAGTATGCTGCCTGCATTGCCGACCTGAAGCATCCTGCCCGTATTGGCAGCTGGATTTCTTTGCAAGTGCTGGCCAAGATGCCAGTGTGCTCTTGATCCAGTCCTGGTGACCCAATGGGTTCAAAGGCTGGTGAAAACCATGCAGTTGCGGGAATCTCAGAGGCTCGTGGCTTTTGGTGCAAGCCAAAGTGCTCCGATTCTGCTTCCCATGGATGGCTCTGACTGCTCTTCGGAGGGCTTTGACGTCTTGTCTTGAGCGAAGGCCTGCACCCAGGAACTGCTCGCATGTCGCAAATGAGAGAATTCACAGGCTCGACCAAGCCTTGCTGCAGCGCGGCCACATATCACACAGCTTGGAATAGAGCGTCCAGAGGTGGCGGCTCGGTGCGAGGATCAGAGTGGTCCCCGAGTCCTTGAATGCACACGCACTGATAGCAGGAAGATGAAATGAGTTCAAGCATGTAGGCAGAGACTTAGCTATGACTGCCTGGAGAGACACGGACTGCTTTTGACATGCACAGCTCAGGAGTCCAAGGCGGAACTCTTGAGCCTAGCATCGGGAATCAGGCCGCAAGCGGTCTTTTTGTCCTTCCTCAGACGTCAGCAAATTTTTGAGGCGTCAGTACTTGTGAAAGCAACTGAATTCGGAGACTAATGCAAAATTCTGCTCAAAGTCTTTTCGTCATCGCCGCACAGAATAATCTCCGCCTTTTCATCGCCGACGGACAGGCCCTGGAAATCGACACCCCAATGGAACCTGGGCAGGCAACCTTCCTTCCGAGGCTTGCATCTTGCGTTGTACTTGCAGTAGGGCCACTTTCCAAGATTGCCAAGTCTCTCTGCTTGTGCCTCAAGAAGTAGCAGGGGTCTCTGTCTGTCTTTCGCCTGCCTCCTACAGTGCTGGTTGCGTTTGGAGTGCAAGCACGGAAAAGCCCGCAGGGTAAGGGTGGAAAGTCGGCGAGCATGAGCCGGGTCCGAAGAAGGTAAATGAACAATGCGGGGACTGCTGGGGTGTTGCGGACACGGCTCAAGTCATCCTTGCCAGACTTGTGACAGGCTTGCAAGGGCTGGCGTGCATGCGAGACTCCGGGGAGTTGAGGCGTAGCATGCCATCCTCCTCCAGGGTTGAATGGGGAAAGCCACATCAGCGGGCCATAGCAAGCAGTCAAAGAATCGAGCCTTCATATTGGAGAAGCACATGGAAAATCGCTGAATTGATGCAGTGACCAGCCAAGACTGCTGGCTTGAAGCATCTTGGTCAACATGAAGGAGATGTGCATGATTCAACGAACCAGGAAGTTGAATGGGTGATCATGGAATCCGGGGTTCTCGGAGCTCGGCATATGTCAGCCTCTTTGTACGGGAGGCCGAGACCAAAAATGCCTCAGATCAACAGATGACTTGCCCACCTTCCGAGAGCCTTGTGGGAGAGAAAGCTTGCTTTTCAGGCTAAGTTGAACTTGGCCACCTTCGAAGTCAGATATGGCAGTGTCGAGCTCATGGTCATACCTGAGTGTCTTTTTTCTCTCGGTTATTGACAAAGCTGGCAACCAGTCAAGAGCCAAAGTGATCAGGTATGTCAGTCACTGCGTTTGAGGTAAACCTTCGAGTGTCACGGCATGCAGCTTGAAGTCCAAGATGCATGAAAATCACACTGCCATTCATCGTAGCAGATTCCTGGCCAACGGTCACCTGTGCGGGGACTAGCTACTTAAATGTGAGAACGCTTCCATAAATCTGTTGCAGAGTCTAGCCGCTGGCCGACAGGTGTATGTGGCAGAGGATGCACCCCCTAGAGAATTGAAAAAGGGTGCGGCTCCCAAGACCGAGCTCTGCATATGACAAGTGGCGACGTCCGTGCCAACAACTCCATAGATCATCCCACTGCCAAATGTCATCCTCGGCACACGCTATGCACTCTTGTACTTGCATCTTGTTGCTCTTTACTACTCATTATGTACTGAATAATATGACCGATTTTTGTTGCTGTTAGTAATCACGCTGGACCTCTTGACCCGCAGAAAGGGCAGTTAGTCTGGGATTCTGGGAGATGTTCAGAGGGAAACACGACCCATACTCTCAAGACGCTAGGGCATTCAGGGTTCCTTTAAGTGGTTCCTTTTCGGGCTGCAAGCATTCCTTGAAGGGCTACATTGCGGGTCGACTTCCAAATGCACATGCTAAGCACCCCTGAGGCCATTTCTGTGTACTGTCCGTTGTCACAGCTTCACATAGCTCCACTCCCCAGCAACCATCCTATTTCGAGGTACAACGGCCCAGCGCACATCCTGCGACTTAACCCCAAGATCTGCCCGACCACCGACCGGCTTTGGCAATGTGGAACTCTTGGCCACGGCCAAGACTCTGAGGGTGATGGGACTTCTGTTTGTCTATAATCCCTTCAGTGACATCTCGCCCCGTGCAGCCAAAAGACGTCACTGAAAGTGGAGCTCCGGAACCGTCCCGCGGCACGTCAAACGTGGAGGACCGGTTTGTGCCTAACTTGGGGTGAAGCTGCGGGCGATCGCCCGGCAATGTTCGGCAAGGGCAAACCCAGGCGAGCCTGTGAAGCAATTTCCAGAGGACCCAAAGCCTGAGCCCACAAGTCGAAGCTCTCAAACTGTGCTGCCGCCACAAGGGTTGGCGTGCTGACCGAGCAGCAACTGTTTGACATGCATTCGCAGTGCGTCACGATGACCGCACTGCTGCCTTCCAGGCTCAACGTCACAAAGATCCGACGTTCAATCGCACTTACTTTCTTGTTTCTGGCGCTTCACACCGCGACCAACTAGGACTTGACGGCTGCTTGACATGTCCAAAGTGGCAAGTGTGCGGCAATCCGAAGTGCCAGTTCTCCTTGCCTGTGTCAGCGACAAGATCGAACTCTTGCTTTGGAGTTCCGACTCCGACCCGCAGTGCAGAATATGATTGTCTGTTGATCCTGAGCTAAGCACAAGGAGCAAAGGCACGGGCTGTCTGGGCGGCTAGGGAACTGGGCCAACAGCTCGGGAAAGGAAGGGGAAATGAATTGCTTAACGCCTAGCAGCAATGGTGAACATGATTCAGAGACCCGGGTTTTCAGGCCGTTGCTGAGGAAGACATGGGAACCTCTGCATCAGAGAAGCGCAAGCAGCCACTCCTGCTCTCGGCTCTCGGGGATTCCTTGGGCCGAGGCAGAGAAAGACCAAGCATCTCAGCCTGGCCATGGCAACCTGCAGAAAGGCTCGGATGTGCTTCCTCTACAAACGCTCGAGAATGGGGCCCTGACCGTGTCTCCAGCCCACCGATGGTCCTACCGGCAGCTCCACCGGCGGCCGCCCCAGGGCGCAGGCCACCAAAGGCCCGAAGCTACGTTGGCTCAGCAAGCATCGAAGAGCGAGAGCGGACTCGCTCCAGCTCGATCTCTCTGAGCTGGCAGCGGGAAGAGAAGCTTTTAGGGGCATGAAGGGGGCATGTGAGAGGGAATGCCAAAGTGAATGTGGTCCACTGCCGTCTCTGGACAAAAACCTGTCAACTGCTGTGGCCGATGAGGATGGGACGACAACAGGATCAGCCAGAACTTGAGTGACGATCTCCCCATCCTTGACAGGGCACTCACAGACCTGGAGTCGCAGCTTTTGCAAACACCGCCGCTGTCCTATGCCCTGCCTTATTGTAGATAATGATTCTTCCAGGCCGCTGCCCCTCGGTGACTTCCACTCGGAAGACGGCGGCCAGTGCATCCTGACATTGGGGGTTAGAGGCCTTCACGCCGAATAAAGCCAGTCGTTCACGTGCTTTTTTTTTGTGGAGTGCGCGTGGGAGTCCCTAGCACATCGGCGCATCCTTCGCGGCTGGGTTCGTAGACTTTCAGCCTAGGCTTTTCTCGGGGTTGCGAGGGAGTCAGCAAATTATATTACGTTATCTTATCTTATCTTATATATACAGATATTATATTATGCTATATTATATTATGTTATATTACATTATATTATATGATGTTATATGATGTTATATTCTATTAGGGCTTTGGAGTTTGGGATTTGGCCGACTCTCTCGCTCCTTGCTTTGAGGCTCCTCAGAGGGCCGCCTCTCGGCTCTTCCGCGGGCCACACTTCCCGGTGCCAATTCGTGCTGAAGGGATCTATAAGGGATTCTGTAAGGTTTCTAATAAGGGTGCCTATAAAGGACCAGGGTCCCTTTCTAGGTCCAGAAAATAATACGGCACACTTATGAAAGCGACCCGTTTTTTCCCTAAACGGGACCCTAGTTTAGAGAACTGCCCTAGGGTTTGGGCTTCAGAGAGGCTTCGGTGCTCTGGCAACTGATGTGAACATCAAGATCTCCAAACACGAGCGTGCCCAATGCAGCGGCCTGGCAATCTGTGGCAACCCAATACCGCCACTTCGATGGATCCATGGTGGCTTCCTGAAAGCATGTGTCAGCTGCAGTTGTAGTGCTGCGCCGAAGGCCATCAGACTTAGCCAAACCAAGTCCCTTCGAAGCGCAAATCAAGTGGCTCTCAAAGACGGTAAAGCCGTTAAGGTCGGAGGATAGCTGTCGGGATCTGTAGCGACCTCGCTACGAGTCTCTGAGCTGCAGCTTCTGGCTCTGCCGACACTGGGCCACCGGCTGAATAGTTGTTCGAGAAGTTCAGCGAATCGTAGGTAAAGGCGATAGCCTTTTGATCACAGTTCGTCGAAAGGAGGACCGTGCGATGTGCGGCATTCTCCGAGGCTTCCCGTAGCTTCCAGAGTGCAGGGGCTTCAGGATCGCATGCTGTCGGCTCAACTCTGCTTGCAAAATCGAATTCCTTCCCCTGCCTTGCCACACCACTTCTCCCCACCCCCGCCCAATGCTCCGTTTCAATTTATCACCTTCCCCCCTTCCTGTTTGTGCGGTGGCAACAGTCTGCAGCTGCAAGCGGGCTATCCACATCTAACCTGGTTTGGCACACGATGTGGAAACGAGGTAGCCTCCTAGCAGACTCAGCAAATGACGTGAGCATCATCCGGCGAACCTTGCGCCACACCGTCTGTGAGAAACCCCCTCCCCATAGCTAGAGGCCGTAGGGCGTCGTTTCCCGTAAGGCATGCAAGGCTTCAGCACGACGGGTACAGCACAAGCGGAGTGCCGCGAGCGCACTGCCAGGCAAGGCGACTGGCAGTAGACAGGCTTGGCACGCGAATCCGCTGTCCGAATTGGACGTGATGAGGCGATGCCCTTGCCGAAGAGAAGAGCTCAGAGTGAACACAATCTGCAAAAACGTCCGAAGGTATGAACCTTTCACCCGAAAACCCCGGACGAAGTGATAACTTCCTTCCTCGTTGTCTCCATTTGCACCTTCTCTCATTCAACAGATGTGTACGTGTTGCAGAAGCCTTTAGCTGTAGGCAGGTTGACAAAGTTTTATGGCTCGGTTGAGACTTGAGGCACATGCTGCGTACCCTGCACCCTGAACCATGCATGCTGTCCTCCCACCGCATAACATGTTGCTGAAAGAGTCTGTTCGCTGAGGAGGAGGCAGTGCCTTCAACAGACGCAAAGCAATCAATCTTTCAAGTCTTTGGTGCTACCGGTACGCCAAGCGGGTGAACATCGTAAGCATCAGTAACTTACGGTACTTCCTAACACTCTAACAGATATAAAATGATATAAATGAATTATACATGATATTCATATTGCATAGGTGTTGGCGGCTGGGTGTGGCCCAAATGCGCCCCATATGCCGAATCGTCGACAACTGCCTTTCTTCCCTCCGGGCGACTGCAAGGGCCGGAGCCACGCTGCTCCTTGTAGCAGCATGCCTACGCAGGAGTCTGGCGCTTCGCCGAACACGCGCCCCCAGGCCATCGGCAACCCGTACCTGTGAGCCCACGCGATGCGTACGCAAGCAGGTCTCACTTTCCTGCCGCGAGAACCGTGCGGCAGCCCCGGTGACAGTTGTTGAAGATGCTGATCCGCTGAAACGGCCAACGCTGCCGAAGCAAGGCGTTGCTGGGGCCACTGCTGGAGCCCTCAAGTCCTCCATAAATTCCCAGCCTGAACCGCTCGGTACGGTCAGAAGCTGCAAACCATCAACTGGGACGTTGTCGTGGCAACTGAGTGCTTGAGTGAGCCTTGCTCACCGAAGCCATCACTACCTGTTTCCGCAACTCCGCACCCAACATCTTTGAAGTTCATGGCTGCCCAACGCCTCTGGACGTCGCAGGAACCCAGCCATACTGTTTTTCCAACTCTGCCTTTGCCATCGGCTTGGTTACCTCAAGCTCGAACACAAGCTGGACAGGTTCAGGCAGGTAAGCAGTCGGCTCAAGCATTTGTGCCTGGTGCTGAGGTCCACGCGGCAGACAAATGCCCGGAGTCGCTGGAGAAACGTAATGTCCTAGGGAATTTGTTCCGACAAGTCATGCCCACTTCCCAGGTGCTGCAGATCTGCTTCTGCTGGCGTTCAGTATCGGACTGCCAATCGGGGGCCATGAAGTCTAACTTCCAGGTCTTGGCTCAGAAAATATCAGGACTTCAGATCTGCTCGCCTTCTGCACTTGGCGTGGCACTGTTGTCGAAGGGGAGTCTGGGTCGTCGCTTAGCTGCCATGCACCCCACCTGGGAATCCACTCGCAGCGGAAATTTCCAATCTCTGCGGTTAGACTGCGTGGCCTTGCGGCCTGTGGAACAAGTAAGCCTGCAGCTGCCCACCGGAAATAGAGGAGCCCATGGCCGTGAGGTACATGGAGTTGCCCGCCATGAACGGCGGGACCTCAAGCGACGTCACATCAGACATTGCATATCATTCATAGAAACATGCACACACTTTGCTTTGCTTTGCTCTGCGAGGGTAAAAGGCAGAGGCAAACCGCGCTTCCCACCCCAATCCCGATTCTCGGCGGAGGCGCTTGGCTGTGTGGGAACAGGTGCCCCCCTTGTCGCTTGACTTGGGCACGGTGTGTACGTTTGCACTTGACAACGCGGGACAACTTCTGCGGAACGAATGTGTGCCCCTTACGTCCAGGTATAGGAAAGTCTGACGGTTCGGGAGTCCAAATCGAACTGGTGGTGGTCACATGGGTCTTCTGCCAAGATGCGCAAGCTCCGTCAGCTTGGGCAGCTGTGGCGTTCACCCGCGCGGGCTGCACGAGTGGTTCGCCAGAGTGGGTGGACTGGCACGTCATGCTGAGAGCTAGCAAACACGGCACTGATGCAAGTTGGTGGGCCATGCCTTCTCAACCTGGAGAGAGCCGAGCGACGTGACTGACCTGATCTCTGCGCAGACGGTGTGCGAAGGCTACAATTCGACAGAAAGTCGCTGAATGCCCTACAGATCCTACGCAGCTCATTACCTGTCGATACCTGTCGTACATTAGCCGTCCCTCGCAGATGGCAAACGGGACCAGCCTGTCGCGTGACTGCCAAAGCGAGTGGGCCTCAAGCACTGCAGAAAGCTTCTTCTAGAACAGCTGAGCAGCAGGGCATAGTTTGTCTTTTGACGGCACTGGTTAGCCGGCTCGCGAGCGCCGCGGCCAGAACCGAGTTACAAGCCCTTCCAAAGCTTCCTCCGCATGTCCGCTGTGCTGAGGTGCTTGGACTGCGTGCCGATTAGAGATAGCCTCGAGAATACTGGGTGGGCTGCGTGGTTGCGAATTTTGCAATCCCACATCCCTACTTTAGCTCCGCTGCTTCTCGTCGCTGATGCTGGACATCCGAGCCCGGCCTCAACAACGCCAGTCCAGTCCCAAAGCTAGTTGCCTTTCAAGCTGCACCACCACTGCCACGTCTGATAGCAATCGTCCCAAGTGAACCAATCCAAGTTGGACAGGAAGAGCAACACTACCACCCACAGTACAATTGCATAGAAAATGACATACGAATCTGGATCGACATCGGACTTAACTTCCTCCCAGACTTCGTCTCGCCAGTTGCTCGCAATGCTGTCCTCGGTATCTGGCTTGTCCATGAGGTCGCGGTATGCTGAGGTGATTTCAGCAAACCGAGCCGAAGCCAAGGCGGGCTCCAAATCTGTCCTCTTATCCGGGTGCTCAGAGGCAGCAAGCTCCCTGTAACGGGCCTTGATTTCTTCTTTGGCAGTCCCACGCTGCAGCCCCAGGATTTTCCACGGTGAGGCCGAAGCCCGCCCAGCTGGCCGACAGACCCGGGGATTCCTCCCCCGATAAGGCAGACTTCCTGTCGTAAGCCCCATCCGACCGGCCAGCAGGCACCGAGCGCTCATCCATTCCGTGAGCCAGAGGCAAAAGGAAAGAACAATAAACGCCAGGTGGCCCAATCGAAATCTGCGGCGCATGCCTTCAAGCCTTCGGTCTGCGTAGGATGGCGCCTTTGGCTTCGGGCCTTTGGCAGGCGACTGCCTCAGGGGCAGTGTTAATTACTCCACATCAACCCGCAACTGGCTGACTTTTGAAATGCACTGCCGTAGCAATGCGAGCAGTGAGACCACAGGCTTGAGCCACGATCTGCAAGGAATCTCTCAACAAAGATTACAGCCTTCCCCGTGCCATCAGAGCTTGAGGATGGCGGTTGCCGAGGAATATACCACGAATGAGCTTATCGGCTTATCGATCCTTTGACTTAAAGTTAAAACCTGTCGTCGACTTCCTGTTCAAGCCTCAGGCATGCAACCCATCCCAAAGGAGGCACTTGCTCTGTTCACATGCCCACAGGCTGGCAGTTTCAGGCCGCTGCACGAAGGCATGTCCATGCAAACAGTAGCCATGTCGAAGATGCTCTCCTTGTGGGCTGTTGGCTGAATCGCAGAACATGGGACGCTGCCAAACACGAAGCTTTGGAGATATGCGAACCTCATCACAGAACAGCTGCGCCTGCTGGCACCTCCAGGTGCCATGCTGTTGAAGCAATCGGCAAAACAACCTCGGGCCTTTGGAACACTGCGCGGAAAGGGTGCATAAGGCCCGGGCGGGTCTTCTGCCAGCAGGACTCTGGGCACGTTGGCCTTGCAGCTTTGTGCCCACACAAACCACTTGTTTTGAGCAGGGACTGCAATGCACTGAGCCCTGAATCCCACACAAACCACTGAAACTTCTGATTACAGCTGAGCATCCGACCTTGTAAATTTCCAAAGGCCGAAATGTAATTACGCTACCGGTCGTTCTAGGGTCTGAACCAGCGAGACCGGCATGTCAAGCTCTCTCCTACGCCATCTCCACAGCCAGTGCTGTACAGGGACATCTAGAGAGTCTAGAGCCGCAGCGGCATTGCTAGCGAAGCTGTTTTGCAAGGGCGGCGGGATGGAACAGCAGCTGCCATGTAGCAGCATCTCACTGCACCATCGCATGTCACTGCTTGCATCGCTGAGATCATCAAGGCAGGCCGCGCAAGCAAATGTCTTGCTCCTCGGCTCACAAAGAGATTCGCCAGGCAGCTGGGTAAGATGAAACTATGAACTTCCGCTGCTGTGTCGATTGATTGTAGAGGACGCCAAAGCTTCGGTGCTCGCACTCGGACAGACTTAGAAAAGCAGGTGCAGCAGGTGCCGGAGTCTGACATCGAATGCTTCAACCACTCTCACCCTCGGACACTGGCAGCGCCTGCAGGCTATCATCTTCGATTGTTTGGGGGTGCAAGTTCCGGGTGCCTCTAGCCTGATGTCTTTGCCGTTTTCACGCAACCCCCGCCATTTGCCAAGATTGCTTTCGCCCTAGCCCTGAAAGTATGTACTGGCTGAATGTGTGCAGCCTGTAGCTGCATGCATCTGAACTGAGCGAGCAGCATCCAAGTCGTCCACGATGTCTCGGCCACATATCCGCTCGTGATCGAGAGACCGGCGCGCATCGAGATCAATGAACTCGGGACACTCGCACAAGCGTGCGACATCCACGTTGAACCTGTTCACTGCCAAATGCAATTCCAATTCTTGCGGGATGAGTCCTTACTCAAAACTTTGAAGTTCGAACATCAGCTGAGTGGCGTAATCCTTGTGAAATCACTCCGGTTCGCACTGCGACGATGGAAAACATGAGAAGTGCGCAAGATACACATCTGCCAGGCATCAAGCACCAGAGACTGTACACTGGGCCTTATGTCGGCTGCACATGCCAGATCTGACAGTTCAACTGTCATTCCTTTCCGTGCGAACTGGCGGGCGTGAGCTGCAACTGCTGAATTCATCTCACCAAACATGAGGCATTCCGTGCAGTTAGAGGCTGTCGATGGAGAGGCAGAAAGAAATATTGTTCGCACCTCGCCGAGGCGCTTGTCACGTGAAGCAGGAAGAGAATGCAACACATCTGCGCAATCGAATCGCCGGAAACTGAGATCCCTCACTACGCAAGACTTGCTTTGGCATGCCTCTGAAAAATGCTGCGCGTAGTCCAGATGGAAGGGCTGAGCCGGAGAGCCCGGCGGCGAGAAGAGCAGACGAACGCTGATAACGTCCATGCCAGGGGTAAGTGCCGTCGCAAGGCTTGCAGCGTAGTCTCGGAGAGCAGCCAAGTGTCTACTGTCCGTCGACTGCCTTCAGCGCCGTCAGAAGCTACGCCGAGCTATCTAGCGAACCGCATGACTCATGATGCGATGAAACGCTTGCGACAATGGGCAAAGACTTCAGGCACCCGAACAAAAACACACACACACACACAAAACCTGGCCTTGCATCCCCAGTGTTCCTCCCCCAGATCATGTAGTGAAAGGGCTCCGTGGGCTGGGCAGCCATTGCTTCGCAAACTACCTTCGTCAAAAGCATTTCTTCTTGACCGCAGCAGCACCACTTAGACTCATGCAAATGATATCTATTCTGCCTGCGCCAGGGCTTCGCGAATCTCGTCTGCAATGCCGCCATTGCTCACGTACTCTATGTCCATGAAGAAGCGACGAGGAAAAGGCAGCAGCTTGTTGATGCTACTCTGGTGATGCTTGCACGCAAGGCTGAAGCTTCAACCTCTGCCAGGATCAGGGAGTTTCCCTCTAAGGATCAGGGATACCATGGATGGTTCATGCTGGTTCCGGCCGAAGAACCAAGTCCCGTTCGACACTCTGATGCTATCGTATCTTGGCCAAAGTCGGAGGAGCTCGGTTCCTAGCAATCCGTGTCCTACGAATAGGAGCGGCTCCTTTGAGCCGAAGCTGATTGGCAGGTGCTCTCTTTGTCACGGACTTGCACTTCGAGGGCAGCGACAGCCAGTTTTAGCTTGCCGCGATGTGCCGCTGAGCGACCGGCCATTAATTGTGGGGGCTTTGCCAACGCCGGCAAAGGAAAAGTTACAATGCATCGGGCACCAGTCGGAAACGAGAGCACGAGCTCGATCCGGATCGCCACACTTAATTCAGGATTCTGCCACCATGACTGCGGTTAAGGTTCTCACATCGGCCCCGAAGCAGAAAGTCCAGCACAAACCAAGTGACGTTGTTCACAAGCGGCTCCGAGGTGACATCCTTAGGCACTAGTGCAACAAGCCGCGTGTCGCCTGCGGAACCGTCAGGTAGAGTGCAGCAGCCTGAAGCTTGAAAACGGTCTCTTTGGAAAGCTTAACAACCAATACAAGCAGGTTGCAAACTCGATCGTGTCCTCCACGAGGCTGCCCCCCGCTGGACTTGTTTTGACCAGGTGGGTATGCACGAAGCCACCGAAGAACGGCCCGATGGCCTGTTCCTAGTCTTGCGTCGATAGGCAAAGCAGTGCTGAGACTGCTGTCAATCAGAGCAAAGCGGCCCACATGTTGCCAAGGCTCGTAAGTCAGTTGGTAATCGGCGCCCGAGCTGTTACATCTCTCGCACTGGGTAACTTTGCTTGTCCAAGGGAACGGGACGACGAATGCTAGCCTGAGGCTGTGCAGGTCAAGTCTGTGCACTCTTGCCAAATCGAAAGGCAAAATCTTTTCTCTGGCCTAGGAAATCCCCTGTCGAGAAACATCCAGTAGTTGAAGAAGAGGGGCAATTCCAGCTGGCTTTTCTGCTCCTCGGCTTCAAAGCTTCCCGCTGTCGGGGCAAGGTGAAAGCTGATGACTCGGCGCTACAAGTCCTTGAGAAGCTGCGGCTCGGATTTCGCCAAGAAGTCCTCGATGTCCTACCGACAAGCGACATATTCCAAAAAGGACACTGTCCTTCCGGGAGCAAGTACCGACAAACACCTAAGAGACGTGGGAGATCTGGTCTGCGTCTCAACTTGTCTTTGCCGCACAGCCTCCTGGGACTTCTTGCGAATTATCAAACGAAACCAGAACCTCATGTGCCAGTGCGCCAACTGCTGGGGCGAAGCGCAAGTCGGGAGCTTCTCTGAGGTGCGAGCGGCGTCGTTTCATCAAGAAGGCGAGGATTCCGAATGACGGCAAAAGCTTGGTCTGTGTTGAGATTCTGCAGAGTGAAGTCCACCCGGACCTGAACTTGGGGCATCTGCTGCCAGCAAAAAGCAATCCCGGCACCAGAATCTCCGGCGTGGACACTCAGGTTCAGCCCAGGAGGCAGGAGCCGGCTTGTGGGGTCCGCGGATTTTGATGTAGAGGGCTCCTGGTCAGTCAGATTAAAGACCGGAACCTTACCAAAACGATCTAAAACAAAAACATAACACAGTAATGTGAGACTGCAACCAGACTCTGTAGCCGAAGGCCGCAGCACAGCAACCGGCGGATACCAAGAGCACTGGCATGGCAGAGCAGCCCAGAAAATGTCGGAGCCCCTAGGCCAGCTGTTCTGGAGGATTTACGCTCTCCTATTACGATGAGAAGCTGACTGATGACTTATGCGGATGTGGCCCCTTTCTTGCAGCTTCCCGTCCCAAGTATTTTTAACGGCTATGAGAGCAAACTGGAGGCTCTAAACCTCTGCCTCCATTCATAGGAGCGGCCAACAACTGACATGATGATGTGTCACGCACGATGCCCTCCTTGGCAAGGCCTGCGGCGTAGGACACGCTGGACATGAAGGACACACTGACAGAGTAAGCTTTCCGGGGATCGACCGGTTCGAGCTCTTTCATCTGCTGACACTGTCGCAAGTTGGCTCAGCAGAGGCTAAGCTAAGGCTGACCTCACTGGGAGGAGACATACACCAGCATGGACCTGAACATGTCAGGATGGAGAGTCAATCACAGGACTGACCCAACTGCTACCGCCACCAGATGGGCGCGCTGCCATTTGGGAATATTTATGTTGATTTTGCCGGAGTCATCTGCCTTGCGAGCCAAATCAATGCTTCAGTTCGACAACGGTGGCTGTGGTTCATCTGTCTCGAGCCCCTGCTCTGCGTAAGGACCTGTTTTGTCGACCTCCATGCGCTTTCTCTTGAGCTCTCTGGGCCGTTCTGCTTCGCACATCCCCAAATCTGTTGGGGTCTGGTGAGCGGCTTCCCTCAAGTCTGGCAGCATCTCCTTGGAAGTTTGACGGCGGTAAGCTGCGGGAGCTGGGTCCAGGACTTGGTGCTTCTACACTGCAGTGAGCAGAAATTTCGCCAGGGGACAGCGAACTCTTCGTCCTCCTGCAGTGAGCGGATCTCCTCCTCCTGCGCTGCCCTCAAAGCTCTGAGAGCCGGCCCATCTGGCATCGAACACCTAGGTTTTCCAGTATCCGGCACTCTTTTTGACAGTCCCATTTTTATTCTGTTTTAATAAACAAGAGGCACAATATTAAAACATAAAAAAAGGTATGAACAGAACCGGGGGCCTAGACACTCTAAGGAGCTCAGATACTCCTTGGAGTAGACCGCCGGAGCAAGGAGGCGCTGCAGCAGTGGAGGCCAGGCTTCGCCACGCGGTGCATCCACCAGCTCACCCTCCAACCACACCGTCAGCAACCATCGTGGATGGGCCTATCGTTGAAGGGGGCCTATCTCTTTACACGATTATAGACCTCTGGTCTCAGGGGCGATGCAAGGCCGTGACCATCCCCTTGAAAGGGTCAATGAAGATGAACCTCCGATCAAAAGAGTTTGGAGCAGACACCGGCCTGGCCCTCTCTGCTTGGCGGCAGGGAGTAATGCAAGATACGATCAGAAAGGAACATAACGCCGCGGTTGAAGCAAGGTGTGACGGCCACTCTGGAACCCAGAAAGGGTTGTATGACCAGCTCTGCACCAAATTCTGGCTTCCAGTCGGTGCTGAGATACAGGAGCCAAGTTATTTGCCGTCTTGGCGCAGTCTCCGAGGTGTCATAATGGCAGGGTGCGCTTCCAGCAGGCCCCTTTGTCAGCTGCAACCTTCGAACAGAAAAGCCAGAAGCTGCAGAACAAGTTTGGATCAACCAGTTCCCGAATTGCCCACGGCAGCCAAGATGCTTCACTTGCACCTGCGACACATCGCCCATGCTACCTGCCAGCGCAAGCCATGGCAGCTGTTCCACCAATGCTTCCGCCAGCGGTACGGCCGCCTCGCGTGCAAAGCTCGACAAGTTTGGTGCCAAGGCAAGATCCTCAACAGCCTCAGCTCCATCCAAGTCCACAAAGCTTCCTGAGCCGGGATGCTCACTGAAGACATAAGCGCCATGAGTTGTAAGAGTTAGTAAGACATAGGCTACGACTTTTCGAAGCATAAATTAAGACCAATCGGAAACAGAACGGGTAAGAAACCAGTCGGCAAGTATCGCCCCGGATGCCTGTACTCACAGCGCTCTCCAGCTGTTGCCTGAAACTCGAAGCAGTGTGGACGTAACATGCCTGCTTCCTCCAGCAGCTGGCATTCTGATGCAAGCGCACCAGCCCAGTCGTCTGCCAAGCAATGATCAACGCTGGCCCAGCCCTGCTCTGCCAGAAGCGCCGCGCTGCGCGAAACAACAGAGCTAATCGAAGCTTTGTGCGACATCTCCGGACCGACAAAAGCAACACCTGTTGACTATGCAAAGTTGGACCGGTGCCATCGGCAAAACACTCAGCACAGTGAACAATTGTTGCTTTGATGTAATCCTTGCACGTTTGCCATTTGTGTAGCGGCATAGCTCCCGGTGCTGCCAACAAGAACCGGATGCTGCTAAGTCGTTGGGTTGAGCCTGGCTTGTGTGCGGGAAGCTGGGCGCTTATGTCGGTGCGTCAGCCTCACAAGCTGCAGATAAGCACAAACAGGACGAGCTGCCACAACTACCGAAACACCTGCATTTCGTGATGTATCATGCAAGACCCCTGCTAACCGCGGGATACCATATTTGTAGGCATGACTGTGTTGCAGGGTGGTGTTGTGGCTCGTTGCAATGCATGAAGTGCCTTCGCCTCCGGTGTGGCACTGCCTTCCCAGCCACCAAACCTGACTGCAGATGCTGCAGATGCAACAAAGCTGTATATATACATATACATATACATATACATATACATATACATATACATATACATATACATATATATATATAGTATAATAACATATAATATATTATTATATAATATAACATTATTTTATACTATATTATTTAGTATTGGCCTACTCCAGTCCCGCAGAGGATCCGGCTCTTTGGCCTGGGAGTTCAAAGCCAGCTTCCAGGTTCTTCCTCCACTGAAGAAAGGCTGAGGGAGGGGGTGATATAAAAATGGGAACCCTAAAGCCTAAATTAGGGTTATAGTAATAATAAGATAAACCCCAAATTAGGGTTAGTAATAATAATACTATCAGCCTATTAGTCTGCCATTTCTGTTCCGAGTGCCTCCACCCCAGCCAGTGCTCACCTAGGCTTCAACTGGCCACGCCAGGCTCTGCTCTCCAGTTCCAGATGTGCCTGAACACTCCTGGGAAGCAGGCCCCATAGCTGTCCTTGAATTGTTGCGGTTCCGCAAGCTCATCAGGCGGTGCTAGCATCAACAAGAAATTTCTTCGGGAGCTGAGCGGCGCTTTCCCACTGGGACTCGGCCAGGTGGGCAATGCAAAGTGCTGCCGTGTCCTCGCGAGATTTGTCCCTTGAAGCACCGAGCATTGAGGGCCAAACGCCAGCTGTGGTGGTCCTGGGTCCAGCGCATAAAGGCCAAGATCGTGCTGCCACCATCCTGCTCTGATGCAAGTCAGCTAGTCTTGGAGCCGTAAGATCTTCTGAGCTCATGCGGTCACGAGCATGGGAACATCTTCTAAGTCAAACTTCCTCATGGACAAACTTGACCTCGTCCCGTGTGAGCGGCTCCTAAGCACAAAAAACCGGTGTCTTGTTTCTGATATCCTTCCTCCATCCCAGTCAGGTCCGCGCAACCACAAGCAGCTCAGGCTGGGGCGCATGAGACTCTCAACTTGTTCGAAGCAGTTACGAATGCTCGCATCTCTGCTGTGTGCGGATCGCCGCCTGCAACGCTGCAGCTTTGCCCACCATCAGGGGCCACTTGCACGGGCGCCTTCAAGCAGCCCCCAGTTGAGCCGATGATGCTTGTCCTTGGTTCATGCAATTCAGAGACATTGCTGAGAGGGGGCTACTGTACGAGGCAGTGCTGCTGGCGCCGAACATGAATCTGTCGCGGGAGAAGTGCTGGCATAGTGCAAAGCGGCTCACCCCTTGTGAAGCTGTTCTCGACCGACCAATCTCCAGACATTGTAGACTTCTCTCGAGCTAGGACATTGCATGTGCAATCAACGACCTGGATAGACCTTGGCGACATCACGAATCCACTGCACATCTTCAATTGTGAAGATTTTTAATTGTCGGTGGAAGAACGCATCACAGCAGAACAAACTGCCCCTCCTGACTTGTCGGGTTCTTGTTGCCTTCATGTTTGTGCCGCGAAGCTTTCAATCTGCTGGTCCTGCATTGCTCTTGGACTTGCAGCTTGAATTTGCTTTCCAGACCGTGTGCACATGACAACAAAAAGGCCTGGGCCAAACAAATGCAAAAAGAAACTATGGTCACGGCAACATGCCACCAATCTTCCTGGAGATTCTCGGTACCTGCCGAGTTCACATCACCTGCATGCAACCTCCGCGTCTTCACCTGAGCACTCCTTCAAAGAGCCGAGGCGGCCCATAAAGGTCATCGGGAGGCCTGTTGCGTCGAGCGGGAATGAAGCAAAAGCCACCACATGCATTCCCGCCTTTACAACAGTTCTGGAACCCAAACCACGCACGGCACTGCCTTAATCAACAGCTGCACAGGCACACCCGGATTCACGCACTCTCGAAAATTCTGAGAGCTACACGCACGCGCATGCCAGTTGCCCTTGCCGCCAAGCCGGCTGACGTAGTAGCGATGGGTTCCGTGCCTCAGAGCCCGCAGTGCAGTGGCTGAACGGTTCTGCGGCATCGCCGCAGTGGTGTGGTAGGACCGGGGCCCGTCTTGATTTCCGTTATGCCTGTCTCCAATCTGGTCATGCCTCCGCACACTCTGAGCTTACTCTCCGAGCTCCGCGTGCCTTTGCTTGGGTTATTTCTTTGCTAGACCGTTGCCCTGCTGATGGAGGATCTCGGGGCCAGTCGATCCAAGCAAGGAGTGCACCCCGCCAATGTTTCCAAAGCCGTGAGGGGCGACCTTATGTAGAGATCTTCTCAGGTCAACCCGACTTGCTTGTCATTGGCTCTCACTTGTACATGCCGAACATCCTGCAGCTGTGCAGCACAACAAAATATGTGAACTGCCTTGAGGGACAGACCATATTTTTCAGCATGCCCAGCCGCTTGTTCGGATCGGCGCCGCCATCGGAGCCCTTCATGATCTTGACCTCAACACGGCTCCACAAAGATCTCTTCCGAAGGTCTCGGTCAAGGCGGACTTCCCGTCTTGCGCCTTGCACCACGGCCAATTCCCAAGGCACCGACCGAATCAAAGTGGGTAGCATGCAACCAGCAAGAGTGGAACCTCGCCCGGACACCCCGAACACCAGTGCATCCCTGATCGCCGGAAGCCATTCCAATCTACACAAGGCCTGAAAGCCTGTAAGCCGGTGGCCCAGCATCGTGAAGCACCTTGCCAAGCGTCAAACATTTGCCAAACCAGCTCCGGTCACGTTCTGCGTTGATGACTTGCCTTCGGGTTCTCTGGCGTGATCTCCGCGATGAGGATTTTGTCTGGATAGTGCGCCTCTTGCTCAGCCAAGACTTCAGGACCAGTCTTCACAAGTCGCTACGTCGTCTCCCGGCGCTGCTTGCAGAAGATGATGCGGTGCAGCTTTCTGCTCCATCACATCTCAACACATTTTCATAATAACTGGTCCCGAGCCAGGCTAATGAGCCAGTTTAGCCGTTTCCAGTCGTATCCGGTGCGTGACCGGCATCGCACCGACGTTTCAAGTGTAGGCTTCGAATGAAAGGCTGCCTTTCGATGATCGGGGCTTGTTCATTGCTTGGCTAACTGTCCATTGATTTCGATGTTCTCCTCGCGTGGCACGCGGTCTGTTTCCTTTTCCTAACCCAGCACCGTGCTCCGTATCTGCGCAACTTGCGATGTGTCTATTGTTTGAAACCACAAAACGTTCGACTACGACTGCAAATTCCGCTCGCACGCAGTGAATGCTGGCAAGCAGCCAGCCCACGAGGTTGAAACTCACAGGCAGGAACGCGCCCGCCTTGATCTCAAAAGTCAGCTGCTGCAACAGCCACCAAGGCCTGTCAGATCCCCTAGAAAGCATTCCGAGCGGACAGCTGCAGGATGCTGCAGGCTTAGGCGGCCACATGTTGTGCACGGAGTCGAAGCGCAAGCCGTCCACCCCGTACTCTTCAATGCAAGTCCGGCAAGACTGCAACCAAGAGGGGAGGTATAACCCACACGAGTGAAACATCTTTGACCTTTGGCCTGCTTGAGGTAGTCCTGCACCTCGGCCTTGTGGAAGGCAAAGCGCTTTCCCCAAGGCCTGAGAGAGTCAGAGCCCAAGACCTAGCGAATGTAGCGAGCGGCGCTGCTCTGCCAGACAGGGCACGTATCCTTCTCGCCCTCGAAATAGATTCCTCCACAGTTGTCGGGGCCTGCACGATATAGCCACAGCCATAGATGCAATCAATCTCTTTGGCCCCGAAGGCATTGCAGGTTCATGCCCGTCATAAGTCGGCTGCCAAAGCCGTCCCAATTCCAAAGAACGTTCATCTTCGATGAGCCTGCGTTCCCAGCCGCTTGGTGCTCTCAGTTTTCTGCTGTGCACGTGAGCTCATGCCACTCTTAGACTGTGCATTCGCACTCTTAGACACCAGGCCATGATTGAGAACGACGTCAAAGAGCACGGCCATGCCGAGGCTGTGCCTCTGCGCGCCAGGCCGGCAGGTCCAACGAACATCGAGGGTCGACATCAAATTACACTTTGCCAAAACATGCTAGGGAGGAACCGAAGAAACCGTGCAGATGTCGGTGGCATGCATGAATTACATGATAAGGCGGACGGCGAAAATAAAATAGCAATCGGCTGCTGCATGGACGCAAAACTGGGTGCTCCAGCGCGCGCTGCACCATCGCATGCATGTCGGCTGCCGACCCCCAAGGTCCGTGCCTCAGTGGCCCCACGCAGAAACAGGGAAAGCCGTGACGGAGAGAAGTCCCCTGCGCCGCCAACAGCTGCCGCGAGTTGTACCCCCAAATGCCGCCAAACTCGGCCTAACATTCTGTGCGCACTAGCTTCACGAACTGCTGCTTTACAAGCACTGGCAAACAAGCCGGAACCGGCTGTGGGCATGAACTGTATGCAGTTGAAGCCTGACATGGGATCAAGCCAAGGGACAAGCAATGACAAGCAAGATGTTCGTGTTGCAAGCCCTGGCGTTGGCTTTGGGCCTATGGGTTCAATCTGAGAATGCGACCCAAAGATGCTATGTGCTCAAGCTTCTCGCTTGTTGCAGCAAAAGCTCGTCCTGCAAGTCTTCCACGACAGAAGCATTCCGCTGGCGCTCTTTGGGCCCCGGCGTTCGTCTGCTTCGGAAACAAAGCTGCCGATCTGAGGTTCGATGGTCGCGTGCCACGAAATCTTGGTCCAAGACTGGAGTGGAGGCTCCCGGCATGCAGCTCGTAGATGATCAGCTCATTGAACTTCGGAGCTGTGAAAGCTGGGGGAGGCGTCAGCGGAGGATGGAGTATACACCTCAGCAGACCAATCAAAACCTGGTTGCGGAGATGACGTCCAAAGCCAAGCTTCCAGCCAGGAGGAGTTGAAGTCGCACTCTCGCGCACATGGGTCTCGACGAAACAAGCGTGCTCCTTCCTCCAAGTTCACCAAGTTGGTTCGTACTCCAGAAGCTCACAGCCGAGGCTTGATCTACTTCGACATGTGAAGCTAGATTCAGCTAGATTTGACCACCCGTCCTGGTGAAAGCAGTCGTTCCAGCTGGAACCCGTTGCAATCCTTCGCTAAGGAAAGCTTCCATTTTGTGTGTTCAAACTTTCAAAGTTTGGGATTGGCCGATCGGATAAGGTGTAATCATACACATACACACACACACACCCACACCCACACAGACAGACAGACACACACACACACACGCATCCACACCCGCGCGAGCGAGCGTGCACGCGCCTGCGAAAGAGAGTTCGAAGACAGAAGCTGGGAAGGTGCAAAGGCTGGACACTTTTTTCTGTGGTCTCCCTGCGATCCCAGCACTCCAGCCGCTGCCTTGCAGGTTGGGTGCTTGGAGCACAACTTCACAACCAGTGACAGCTTCCTCGCCTCTGCGTCAGACTGGTTCCTGGCTCCAGTCATTCGTCAGTCCTCCTCATCATCGCCTCCACCTCCGCCACCTCTCATGGCTTCAGTAGTTGCGAAATCTCCACAACATTTGGCGTGATATCTTGCAGGAGTAGCAGCTGGGCCTTTGGACGCCATCATCTTGCGGCGCACACGCCCTCACAAGCGTGGTGATTGAAACTAGTCACTACTCTGGGTGTTTGATGCAGGATAGTCTTACCGAGTTCAGAAAAGCAGGGAGAACCATCTCCCTAGTGACATACTCTTGGGCGACGCATCACACGCTGTGTATCGCATAGAAAATGCTAAGGCCTGTCGAGGAGCTAAACTCTGTACGCTCCAATTTCACTCTCTCTGTCTCTTTGCAGCAAGATTTGACTGTGAGCTGTAGAGACATAGTGGGCTGTCGAGCTCGCGCACAAAGTGTTACAACAGGAGTGATACATGATGAGACCATGATTCTAAGACCTTCTTACGCATGCTCGACTTTGATGCTGCAAGCAACAGTCCCAATGTATGCAGTGTGATTCCATTTCGCATGGGTTCTCTGCGCTCCATGTCTTCGGTGTGTGCGGGAGCTACTGACAAACTGCGGTCTGCCTGGCCGGCCACCACCGAATGGCGATGTGAGGGCAAAGTCAATGTGCTTCTCGCCTGATTCGAGTGAACGGAGAGCCGAGGGCGCGCGTGGTTCCGGATAAGGAACAGGCTGTCCAATCGGACCAGGAATGATGGGATGTCGCCTCGTCTGCGACAGGTGGAAAGTACAGAGACCCTCTGCACAACTTGGGCGGGTGCAAATCTGCTTGCCCACGCGGATGTGTCTTTGGCGAATCAGGGTGCGCCTCGGTCAGAGCTTGAGCACGGGTCTACTAAAGCCTAGCTAGCACCCTTTTCAGCTGGTAGGAGCCCTGCGCATGGTGAATGGACTTAGCAAGGCCGAGCTTGAACACCTGACAAAGCCGAGCCCGATGCTTGCCAGTTCTGCGGCCGGAGCAGCGCCAAGAGCCCCTGCCTTCGTCTGGAGCCTGCGCTCCATGATCTTCGCAGTGGTGAGCCCGAGGACAAAGTCCAGCTTCCTCAACTGTTGATGAATTGTGCGGAATAGTGAGCCGGCTTAAGAGCTCAAGGGCACTCAGGAAAGTTGATCCTGGAGCCATCCTGGTGAGTGGAAAGGGATTGCGCTTTGTGATCGAAAATTTGAATTGGCGATTCTTTGTTCTTGGACAGACGCTTGGCATTAAACCTTCAGCCGGTGTAAAGCTGCTGCCCAAGAATCTTTTCTGACTCCAGCAGAAGACCAAGACGAACCATGCGACGCAGCAGGGCTTCTCCCTAGGGCAGCGATCTCGAATCATCTTCTCTCGTGCATGTATACGCACTATGACAAGATAGCCAGTTGGAGTATGCTGTATTAGCTGTTATACTCCGTTCCGCTACAGTACGAACCACACACCATACGTTACGCTACACTGCATACACGAAACGACGTTACAGTACACTACTTTACTAATTTACAGTACACTACACTACAGTACACTTCACTACAGTACACTACTGCACTGCATGCCTTAAACGGTATTTCCATGCAATAGTAAACTCAGGTTCTGGATCCAGCTAGGGCCTGGAAGATGCGCGTTTCGCTGCGCTCCTCCTGGGTCAGGAGTGTGCGGGCCGCTGTGCGGATCTTCGCCAGCCTAAGTCGATTCGATGTGCGTATGGATCTTAAACTTGCACTCCTTGAGCAACGTTTGCTACTCGCTACTCAAACCCGAATTCGTGACATGCTGACCAAGCCAATGATGATGTTGCGATGTTGCAGTTGTCTAACGTGCCGTCCAGCACAATAATTCTGACTGGATGCGCGTACTGGACTCGCCAGACCTGTGCTGAGGCCAGTAGCAGTGCTTCATCCATACAGCCTACAGATCCCTAGACAGAATAAGCGACCCACCTCGCAAATGCCAAGATGAATATGTCAGAAGTCCAATGCACGACTCCGCTGGACCATTCTTTCAGACCTGCCTCACGCTTGTTTTTCAAGCCATACTCGCCAATGATCTTCATCTCTCCATCCAAACGCTCCTTTCGCATGGGACTGGCAAAAGATGACTGGCAGATTCCTGCCTGGCGAGCAGAAACCAAAGATACCGGGAAAGCACACCTTCTCGAAGGGGCGCTTCGGCTTGCGGAAGGTCTTCCCATAGTTCTGATAGCCTCAAGCACTTCGGACTGAAGTTGCAAGTCAACACAGGCATGCATCCACCAAGCCCGGGGCTCTTCTTGCCCATGGCTGCGCAGGTCGCGGCCCCACAAAACACAAGCCGCTGCAAGCAAAACGAATCGTGCAATCATACATGTGGTTCATATGTCAGAGGAAACAAACCTAAAAGCAAGCCCAACCTGATGGACCGGATGAACAACTGTCACTGCGAATCCCGTGGGCTGCAAATCAATCTGTCAGGATCTTCAAAGCCGGCTCCTGTACCGATCTCCAGGTTTGCATGGAGCTTGCCCTGTCCAAAAGTTATCTTCTCGCGTCAAAGGTACCTCCAACGATGACTCGGTAGCAAAGACCAGGCACAACAAGCCCTGTGAGCAAGCTCATGAGAAAAAGGCTGCCTCCCGCACCTCGCCACCTGAAACAGTGTAACAAACTCCAGCCCTCTTGGGATGATGTGCACTGACGCGCCTTCCGAGTCTTGCAGCTCAACAGCCTGGCACGGTTCTCTCAGCACATGGCGGCGAAATCGCAAGACTTCACCTAGGAGCTCGCGCACTCTCATCCGAGCTCGCAGCAAGATCTTCTCCATGCGGCGCCCACACACGGAAGGAACAAACCTGGCGCTCAAATGCTCAGCTCAGTTGACCTGGGGGAGGTCCGCCTCTGCCGAAATCCATCTCGGGCCGCATGCGTTGGCCTTGTAGCTCAATCGGGCACAGGCGAGCCCTTCCTCTTCGTCACATGCACAATGTGCACTACAGAGTTGGTCAGCGAGATATCTGCAGCCGAACCGACGCTGCACGCTGGACACTGCAGCCCTCGGGCACGATCCCATCTTGAGTCTTGACATTGCTCAGGAGCTCTGGGTTGAAACTTCGCGCTGTCTGACTTAGCGAAACTCTGCAGAGGTGCCCGCTCGGCTATGGGGAGTGGCTATGAGAGGCTGATGACTACCGGCGTGAGCTGCCAGTGTGTGTTTCCTTTGGGAAATCTTTGAATCAGAAGGGGGTTCAACAAAAAACTGCAGGTCTTAGCAGAGTCTTCGAGCACACTGTCTGCAGAGGCCGCTGCTAACTGCCAGCGGGGCTCTGGATCGCCTGCATCCACTCAACTCCCCCGTTCAACTCCGCCTTCTCGCATATAGCATATTATCTGCAATATATTCGGGATGATGTATCACATATACTTTATGATGTATACTATAAATATGTTATACATAATACACCTATATATATATATATGTGTGTGTGTGTATGATGTCTCATGTGTAACCTCCAACTGACATCATGAAAATCAAAGCTTTGCCGCAAGAGCCTGCCATGGCTAAGCAGAATCTGCCGCTTGATTGAAAGGAGTCCTCAGCCCCTACGGCCTCTTAAGAGGATGTATTTCGGGTTTGAAAATCTAACTCTGTGAAAGAAACATCTGCTGAAGGTGCTCGTTTCTTTTTCTGCTAATTTGACGACCATGTTCCCAAAGTCTTCCTGTTCCATGGCGCTCCATGACACGATGATCCGTGTGAAACCCATGTAATCTCTGTTCTTTGCCTGGGCCACTTGTCAACGCTCATGCACCTTGTCACGCTCAGCTGTTGTGAACTCGCTCGGTTGTGCACTGCGCTCGTGCCGGCCCAGGCTTTTTCGACTGCTAGCCGTCAGACTGCGCCAGCCGCCTCTCTCGCTTGCAATCACTTGCGGAGGGCCTTCAAGCGCCAAGTGCGCATCTTCGCTTCATCACCGCAGCATTACGGGCACGGATGCCTTGAGCCGCAGCTCGATGACCCAGTCCTTCTTCTTGAAGCGATCGATCTGCGCTGCAGGCATTTTTGCTGGCATGCGCGACAAAGAGTAGCGAGCAGCGCCAACATCGCAGTGAACGGATCAGAAAGCAACCTGCCCCTGTGCTCATTCTCTAGTCTACTCTCCAAGACATCTTCAGCTCATGCAGAGCCTGGCGCTGTCGGCCCCAGTCATTCGGCTTGGGTGCCAAGTCATCAGAAACGAAACCTCACACCAGGAGAGTCCATTCTTCCGCCCCTCATTTTCACCCGTCTAGGCACAGAGCCCAAATTTGGAGGGACCTGAGCCACAACGTGGCGGATCCAGCAGCTGCGCGGTACGACGGAGGAAGCGGGCTTGAGCTCCAAACGATGACCCGTCGCGTCCCACCGACTCGCATACCGATCAACGCCTTCAGGTTTAAGACTTAGGCATGCCCATGGAATGCGAACACGTGAAGCCCAAGCCTTTTTGATGCCTTCAATGACTTTGTCGCCTGTGTGCATGCTGACATAAGGCGCCCAAAATCAAAAGCACTGAGACACAAGCGACACTGCACGGTGCCTTATCCACAGAAGTCTATGGAGTTCGTCTGTCTGGGTATGAGCTCTTTGGGTTCCAAAAGCTCACCCCACTGACCCTCTGCCACCTTTGTCTCCGATCGGCGAGAAGCGCAACTCAGGCGAACCTCGGAGTCGAAGCGATGCCAGCGCGTGCAATCAGGTGCTCCACAGCTCCAGGGAATGTCGTCGGCGGTTGACACCGGCTAAGGCTCGCGCCGACACCGAACTTCTCATCTATACCTCTCCCCTCGCAGGAACCAGTGACTCCCACAGTCACATGCCAACGTGCAAGTTTCCACGACACCGAGCCGAGGAAGCTGCTGGATCAAAACCAAACGAGGCATCCACGAAGTAGCCGTTACTTCTCCTCAGACTCCAATCCACCTCAGCTGTTGCTGTGCCGCAGAAGCATTTTGACAAGAGGTCGGGCTGCATCCGATATCGGTATGGCTAGTATGACTCGGACTTTTGCTATCTCCCTGCTCGCACTTACCGTGCGCGATTGCACCTGCCTGTTTTGGACAGGCCAATGCCTCCAGCCGCCCAGCTTGAAAGATATGCCAGGCTACGCAGCCACGCACATTGAATGAGTAGGCGTCTACTGCCCTCGATTCGGACGGCGGATCCACCTACCTACTTGCGACACGTAGAGGCAGATGGAAGCCAAGAAGACATTACCTTGATGGCAGAAATGACAGTAAGGAGGAAACTATGGAAGAGCGTTGGGATTGAACTCCCAGATTTAACCGAAAACCTGCCTCGTAATCACCACTTCGTCGCAAAGCCATGCAGGCCGCATACTAGTTCCTGCTTTCTTCTGCTTAGCAGTGGCAGGACGCTACAACCTGCTCCTGCAAAGATAGCCTTCTGTCATGTATACCGAGACTGCACCAGGAAGTCTTGAAGGCGCGCACCGCCACTTTGAGATGCGAGTCGCAGCAAACGAAGACGCGAAGGGTCCAAATATTTTTTGTCTTGACATTCTCTGGCTTCACGTGCGTTTTTGTTTGGCTCCGTTTGCGGTCTAGGGAAACAACCTATGCACAGGATGCCTTAAGCCTCCTTGCGCCGAGCTAGAATCCACAGCCAGGCTGCGAATTAAGTCTCACAGCGAACCGTCAGAGCCGCGAATCAGCCCTTACAGCTGACGACTTTGACGTGTGCAAGCTGATTGTCCAGACCCTCGGGGCTTCTCACCTCGTTGCTGTCCTCCAGCTCGCTTCGAGTACTGGGCAGCTGGCATGGCCTCAGCCACCTCGCCTTCGCCCATTGTCCAAGCATAACGGCAACTCGTTCTACTGCTCCAAATAGGCTCATCAACGTCGCAAGATATGCACAGCGCATGACCAGGTCTCTGGTGAATGTGCGCGACAGCCCAACCAGGTTGCCACTTGCATCCCAAACCAGGTATGTCTTCTCCAGGAACTGCCATGCAAGGATCAGTTTTTGGAGCGGTCCTGCCTCTGTGTAAAATTGCGAAATGACGGCATAGTTATACAGTTGATTCAGCGGTGCACTCAGCACTGCTGTCAGAATAGATGCTAGAAAATCACCGATAAATGTCATCAGATCTGGATGCGGAGCCCTTATGTTGGCACGTGCCAGCCAACGACGGAAACCAGACTGGACTGGATCGGACAGAATCCGAATGCCACCTCAGCTTGGGCGGGGTTGCACAAGCAGACGGAATGAATGGCGCACACTTGCAGCTGGAAGCGACACCGAACCAGGCTCCCGCGCCAATGCAAGTGTCTAGGATCTCGACACATCTACCATCTACGACAGAAACTTCCGAGGAGTCTAAGTTGCCAAGCGACTCATTGCGAGACAGTTTCCTGAGCACACGCAGGTGTCTAGCTGGATGCAAAGCATTGTCTCTGCCAACGTGGCCAAGCTTCGGAGAAACAAGAATATGACTCCCGGGCCGAACGGGCTGAACACGTTGCCGACGTCCATAGAACCATGGCCAGCATTGAATGCCATCCTTGCGTTGACCGTCTGTGGTCCATACCTCGTGACCGCAAATGCTTGCTGAAACCCGGGGACACACGAAAGTCTCGAAAATTGGTGCATCCCAGCATCGTCAGTAGAGTCTCAGCGAGCGCTGCCAGAACCACTGCATGGACAGCCCCACAGGCACTATTCAGCATGTGGTAGAGCGGCCCCAGCACAACAAACTGCGGGCAGCTGGTCCAAAGCGTGACTTTGGCACCAGTCCAAGCATGCAAGCCATCGGCGTAGAGCGCGCTGTAGATGTCCTCGGTACTCCGACTGCGTCCTTCTTCTGAAGCTCCAGGCTCTGGACATGATTTTAAAGCATACATGTATCTGTGCCGCATGCTGGTGTGCAGAGGATCCCCTTTATTGGTCTTGTCTACCATTTTGGTTGGGGTCTTGCTTCAGCAACAGTAGCAAGAAAGAGACCATGAATTTGGCAGAACTCACAAAAACAAGAAAAATGAATGAAAGTTGAATCAACCAACCAGTTCGAAACATGTCCACGCCTCATGATCCGTGCAAATCTCGGACGGTTGTCGCTGCTGAACTAGAAGTGGCGCCGCGCACGCCATTCCCACCGCCCCTTCCCTGAACTGTTGCTTGTTATCCTGACTTTTTTTGCACGGCACTTCTCCCGCAGGTGTATGCGGCACGCGAGTAGCTTGTCAGTGTGTTCTATCGCTCGGCATGACCATACCCAAGACAACGGGCTTGAGAATCACATCCCGTTCAACCGGAAATCGTATCCGGCAAGTCAACGAAGCAACACTCTAGATGAAATTAAGGCGTGTACTTTCGGCCTGCGCATGAATTAAGGTAAAGATACTAGTTACATCTAGTTACTAGTAAATTCTAGCACGATTCTCACTCAATCTCGACAAACGCGCTGGCACACGGAGTACACGTGCGCCAGAGCCATTTGCATGTATCGCAGAGAAGTCTCTTTCATGGAGATTGGACAAATGCACGGGGTCGTCTGCCGCGGCATTTCAGGTCGCTTGCATGGGGTCAAGAGCTGAGGAACTGTGCGACCGAGTATCAATCGCCGACTGGTCCGGATAGTGGCTTGCTATCGTGAGAGCATTCCGCAAAGGCGTTAACAAACAAATGCAGAGTGGACCGCCGATGGCCCCTGCTAGAAGCAATGGCAGTTCCGGCAATGCGAGCGATGTCATCCTGGCGCCGGCCAGTAAAAGTTTGTAGTTCGTGCCACCACTCTCATTCAGTGACTTGTTGCTACAGCCCTCGATCAGCACGACGGTATGATACAGAGTACAGAAAGCTTCCCGTAGAACCGGCGCGCAGAAACCAAAGCTACAGTGCTTCAACGACTCCAACCTCGCCCTTCGCGAGCACCATCGCTGCCAACAGCGACCTCCAAGAAGCCAACTACTGGGCATCGATGCTTGTGGACGGTTTCAAAGCATTACGGATGAAGCTTCTTCGGGCATCTGGTCCTCAGACGCTGAAGTCGGCTGGAACTGGCTTGCTAATGTCAGCTAGCAGCTAGCGTTCCTGTGCATACCAAGTGACTTCTCTTGGGCATCGACCTCTCAGCAAGGCCAAGCTCCCCAACTGTTTTCCTGCAGTACAGTAGCAGGCCCTGACCTCGCTCGTGCCAACATTGGGTCTTGGCTGAGTTGCCGACGCCTGGCAGGAATCCTTTAGCGCGTTGGACGGCTCGGCAGAAAACTTGAGCCGACACCATCCAAGCCCGTGCCAGTGCGGCTCGAGATGTGCCTAGGGCCTAGTGCGGTAGCTCTGCCCTCTTCCGCATGAAACTCAGCTTCGGGCCACAACAATGTCATCTTGAGCGCAGCATTCGTCGCCCTTTCCTGGTGGACAACAACAACCCGAGTTGCCCACAGCGTCCTCGAACACAGACACGAGAAGCTGATGGATCGCTGAGGTCTAATGCTTTGAAGCAAGCTACCTGATGCCAGATCGAGAATCCTCCAAGCCAAGGCTGAGCACAAGCTTTGCTTAGGCTCGAGGCTCCACATCGTCTTTACACTGACATTAGAACATCAGTCTGCGGTTGAAGTTTCGTTCGTCCTGAGGCCATCCGGTGTCTTTGTGAAGTCAGCGATGCCACCGCCATCCAATTTGACTTTCTGCGGGCGGGTGGGCGGAACAGACTCGATTGAAAAGCAAAGTTGTGACGCGCCTCAAGAATAACAGCCGAAGTCTAGAAAGCTGAATTGCTTCTAAGCCTACCATCCACAAAGACACTTTTGCCAACACCTGTACACATTTCTCTGCTCGCAGTCGTCAGCTCCGTCAAGAATGCTGGAGCTTAAACTTTTTAGTGGGCAAGCGAGACCCTGGACGTTGCTGTTGTCCATGTCTTTGGCTTGACACATAATTCGAAACTCTTAACACGGTGCTTGGCCGAGCTGCACTACGAGAGAATGATATTTGTTCAATAATTGTTCTTTACGTGAGTTCGCAAAAGATCAGCCTGCCCGTGCCCGTGTCTTCGCAGACACGATCAGGGCATTGCCTCTTATAAGATCTATTGGCAGCAACTTTCGGCTACGTTTCGTAGGCGAGTAACTCCCAGTAGTCTTCTTGAGCCCGGCAATCAGCGGAAGCGAAAGCATTCAAAGTCACGTCGACTGCTTTGTCCAACCGAAGACCAGGCTGCTTGCGCAGGATGGATGGGGACAAAGAAGTGCACGCCTCAGGGTTTGGGACCACAGGAGACTGACAGAATCTACTGTTGCCTCCCTCCTGCAGCGCACTTGCAGAGCTTGCGGTTGGAAGCCTCGTGGTTGGCACTGGTGCAACAACTGCCGCTGCATCTTCAGGCGTTGGGCAGTCTGGGTTCGAAAGATCAGATTGAAAGGGAGGCACCTGCCGGTGCAGCTGAGCATTCACACGAGCAGCAGATGCAGGTGGCCATAGGCCTACTCTATAACCTCAAGCACTCACACGCACCACCAGGCCTGGTTACCTGTTCTGATGCCATCTGATTCTTGTGGATTGTCTTGGGGGTTGTCTGCAACCGAGAAATGGCTGTGGAAACACTCCTTGTGGAAGGTGTGCTTGCACTGCATCACCACGACGAAAAAGCCAGCTTTGATCTCTCCATTGCACAAATTGCAGCGAACGGTGGAGAAACCAACATCCCGCAAACTTGCGTTGACGCATTGCTTGTGGCTTGCCAAGTACAGGCGATCGTGCTCATTCACCACTTCCATTGCAGTGGACTGCTGCGCCGCTCCATTGCTTCGGGGTTTTAGAACAGCCACTCTGGTGAATCGAGAACCTGCAGCTTTTTACTAGTTCGAGCTTATTAACGAGCTCGAGGAATCGGCGAGCTTGCAACAACTCTTCTCGGTTTCTTAAAGTCTTAGTCTGCTTCGAGGCATGGCGGGGCAGCGGTCACATCAAAGCACACAGACAGTCGACTGCGGGGCTTGGGCACGGCTCCGCATGTTGCGGCATAATGGGCAGAGGCACTCTAAAGACATTACTTGTCAAGTCCCGCCCATGTTTTTGAGGTCATCTGTTCGGCAGCGGCTGCAGACTAGCGAGAGCATCGCAAAACCTCATTTGGCACGCAGGAAAGCAATTCTCTACTGATATGCTAATGTGTTCAACATCGGCAGGTATCAGGCGGCTGTGCTGCGTCGAGACTTCACAAACATTTGCAGGCCAAGCGGCTCTTGAGCGGCAGTCGCATGGTCGAACTCGAAGAAGTACAACTTTTGCTCCCGAGCATCTGACCGGGACCCACCTGGCAAAGCCGTTCTGATTCTGGTGTAGCTGCATGCTACCACAATGCTTTGTTGATGCCTTGCGGCTCTGCTGAGTCTTTGAGATGCAACCGTTTGTGGTGCGAAAATAATCGTGCACCGCATCTGTCAGCCTCCTCTGTGCGGCGATGTAAAGCGTCCCAGGCTCGACCTTTGGCGAACTTGCGAAGCTATCTTCACTGGCGGTCACGAGCATTTATTCACTCCGTTTTTGTGCATCTGAATTTCTCCGTCCCTGCTCTGTGTCTTCCTCTCCCTTCCTATTTCGAACCTATCCAATTGGGACTGGGTGTGCTGCGAGCGTCGCTTCTTCCGATGCACTTCCAAGGACATGATTCCCGGGCCGACCAAGCAACACCTGCTTGAGGCCGAAGCAAACACTCGGATTCGCAGCAGTAGTATGATATAGTAGAATACAGTATAGTACAATAGAATCACTCGAGTGCGAAACCTCTCCACTTCGCCGGCTCCGACATCCACCACTGTCTTGACTTGGTCAACCGAGCCCTGGACAGTCCAGTCAAGATCGAAGGTTTCATGCTGTGGCTAGAGCGGATGTGCCACGAGCATCTACGAGCCTTCTCGTAGATGAGCCTCAATAACAAAAATCATCTCGCGGCGCAGAAAGCATCGGTCAGCGAGGATGCAGGCGAGGAACAACTGGCTGCCTGTGACTAGTAGACTTCGGCAATCGTGCCGCTTCCATCCTTGAACACCAGTCGTCAGTCTGTGCACCTCCAGGCGTTTACTACTACTGGGCCATGTTCGGTTCCTGAAGCCGCTTTCCTGAAGAGTCACAGTCAGGCCTCTGCTCGAAGGCACCCGGCTCGCAAGCCGGTCGAAGGTGTCCCAGCTGCTGCCTGCATCATGTCCGTCCACAACCAATGAGCCGATGCTCAGAAACACCGAGCCGACTCAGCCATGCCTTTCCGGATTCAGCATGGGACTCTCGCCCCCTGTCTCCTTGAAAACCAGCGGCTGCGCTTGCTTCTGCCACGCCCAAACCACAAGCACCCACATCATATGAAAAACAAAGCCCAACACACACACACACACATTTATACTAGACAAATAGATAGATAGACAGACAGA